TCTGACTCTTGATTTCAACTCAGGTCATGATCTCAGGGTTGTGAGATCCGAGCCCGGTGTTGGGCTCTATGCTGGGCATGGAGCCTGCTTAGGATTCTCTCTCTCTCCCTCTCCCCCTTCCCCCAGTTGATGCCCCCCCCCAAAACAAACCAAAGCAAAACTCTTAAATGTTATCCTATGATTTCTATGCTTTTGGAAGTGATGAAAGGGACAAATAGTGTTAATTTTCTTAATTGCTTTGAAGTTTTGGTAGTTTGGAATTCTTTTTAAAATTTCTTTATCTCAGCTAGTAGCACTTTTTAAGAAGAGAATCAGAGTTGAAATCACAGACGCTGAAAAAAAAATCTTACTACCTAAGGTTTATGTAAAACTATATAACAAGGAAGGTCATAGACATAGATAGGCTTTCATTTATTTCCTGAGCTAACCCAGGCACTGGATCTCAGTATTAATTTCTGTACTGAAAATACTGGTATCTTAAAAAAATAATTTGTTTCTTAATAAGTGATACTAAGTAGGATACATTCCAAATGTGAAAATTTATAAATATAAAACCTCATATGTAAATATAAGTTTTTAAGTATATATTACCCCCTACATTTTCTTCGAATATAAATTTTTAGCAGATTAAAGTATAGTATCATTCAGAAATACTATATAAAAATAAAACAATGTACAAATGAGGTAGTATTTGATCTTTAAAAAATGGCTTAAAAAACAAAATGAAATTATTGATGAGTTGAATACTTGCTGTAATGTTAGAACTGCTGAGAAAGCTCTCTTACTCTACACTGGTGGGGGATGTTCTAGGAAAAATTTATAAACTATTTCAGGATTTACTTCTCGACTGTTTAATCTTTACATAATCCCACCTTTTTATGATAACTTGTGGAGAGGATGTGGGGTAAGCTAGGATTTAATCATTTTACTAATGTGAAGCTAGTTCTTTTTTCCAAAGGATTTTTTTCTTCATAATGTGTAGATGGAGATTTTAATGTAGTTACTTTTAACATATCTGTATGAAGTGTTGATATTCCATTTGAAAAGTCTCTGAACGAGAGGAAGATTCTTATTCTTGTAGTAGACACTTTTGCCTCGTCAATTAAAATTTTTCTTCTTGTGGAGGTTAATGGAGGTATAGAAAAAGGCTTTCCAAATAAATGTACCTTTCTTTGATTTAAAGTCATTAATTATATATATAATCTAAAAATATAAGTCATTCAGATTTTACATTTTAAACTTACTAAAATAGCAAAATTATACCAAAGAGATACAGCAATAATTTGGTACTTAATAGCCTACTATGCTACAATGCTGGAATCCTTAGAAAGCAGTTCGACTGCCCTAGAGAGGGGAATTTTGGGTATGTGTGAGATCTCAAAGTGTGAAAGTTCCATTCTTAACTTCACTAGAAATTGGATATTTATTACTATTTTTTTAGTGTTTTTTTTTCTTTGTTTAAGAATCAAGATTGCATTTCTGATTTTCCCCCTTCTCAGATCCCTAAAAGGCATCTTTATTGCTGTTTTATTTTTTGTAATCCTTCAGCTTTTTAAGCTCCCTATTTTCTCTTCCAGGCTCTGGTCAGTGTTAGTCTGGTTGTTGAGACTAGGGGGGATGAGTTATATATATTGGACCTTTAGTGTTGGGTAGTATTTGATATGTCATTTCCTAGTAGCATGACCTTGGAAAAGTCAAAGTCTCTTAACTTAAGTCTTAATTTATTTTTAGAATGAAGAATATTTCTTCATGCCCTCTTCAGAGTTACTTGGAGATGAAACATTGTATGCAATAATGTTTTAGAAATACTGTTACCTTCATAAGCGTGTCCTTTGAATAAAGACTTTTTTTCTTACTATTTTTTTCACCCCCAGCAAATTATATGTAGGTACTTTTTCTTATTTTGATTATAAATTTAATGTGGGCTTATTGTAGAAAGTATGAAAAATATAGGAAACTTTAAAAAATAGAAATCTGGGACGCCTGGGTGGCTCAGTTGGTTGGATGACTGCCTTCGGCTCAGGTCATGATCCCGGGGTCCCGGGATTGAGTCCCACATCGGGCTCCCAGCTCCATCGGGAGTCTGCTTCTCCCTCTGACCTTCTCCTCGCTCATGCTCTCTCTCACTGTCTCTCTCTCAAATAAATAAATAAAATCTTTAAAAAAAAAAAAAATAAAAAATAGAAATCTGAATAATGCATCATCCCATTTTTATGTTTTTAAGGGAAATTTAGTTTTGAGGCTGAGTTCCCTGAGGGGAAGAATACTTAGTGTCATATTTATTGTTGGATTTTTAAAAAAGATTTTATTTATTTATTTGACACAGAGAGAGATCACAACGTAGGCAGAGAGGCAGGCGGGGGGGGGGCGGGAAGCAGGCTCCCTGCTGAGCAGAGAGCCCGATGCGGGGTTCAATCTCAGGGCCCTGAGATCATGACCTGAGCCAAAGGCAGAGGCTTAACCAACTGAGCCACCTCGATGCCCCTATTGTTGGATTTTTCTGTTCTTTGTGTGCCTTAGGCAAAAAAATAATGCTTGTCGAGTGAGTGGGAATTTTCTTATGTGGGTGAATTTTTTTTATGATGTAAATTTTAGGTGTATAGCTTTATAATTTGACATCTGTATACACTACAAAGTGATCACCACCACAAGTCTAGGTACCATTCATCACCATAGACTTCGCTCCCTTTACCACTTTTGTTCACCCCCAAGCCTCTTCCCTTCTGGTAACCACTAGTCTGCTCTCTGTATCTGCAAGTTTGTTTTTGTTCTATTTTGTTCATTTGTTCATTTTTTTTTTTTAAGATTCCATATGTAAGTGGAATCATAGGGTATTTGTCTTTCTCCATCTGACTTATTTCACTTAGTATAATATCCTCAGAGCCCATCCATGTTATTGCAAATGGCAAATTTTATTCATTTTTATGGCTGAGTAGTATTCTATTGTATATATACTATCTTTTTTATCCATACACCTGTTGGTGGCCACTTGGTTGTTTCTGTATCTTGTCTATTGCAGATAATGGTGCAGTTAGCTTAGGGTGCATGTATCTTTTCAGATAGGTGTTTTCATATTCTTCACATCAGTACCCAGAAGTGGAATATCTGTTTCACATTGTAGTTGTTAATTTTTTGAGGAATCTCCATATTATTTTCCATTGTGGCTCTGCCAATTTACAATCCCATCAGAAGTGTGAGAGGGTTCCTTTTTCACCACATCCTCTCCGACATGTTATTTCTTGTCTTTGATAATAGCTATTCTAGTAGGTATTAGGTGATGTCTCATTATGGTTATGATTTGCATTTCCCTAATTATTAGTGATGTTCATCTTTTCATGTACCTATTGGCCATCTGTATGTCTTCTTTGGAGAAATGTTTCTTTAGATCCTCTACCCATTTTTTAAATCAGGTTTTTGGTTTTTTTGTTGTTGAGTTATATGATTTCTTTAATTATTTTAGGATAATAACCCCTTATTAGATATGTGGTTGGCTGACCTTCTCCCATTCAGTAGGTTTTCTTTGCTGTGTAGAAGCTTTTTGGTTTGCTGTAGTCCCATTTGTTTATTTTTGTTTTTCATTCCTTGCCTATGGAGTTAGATACACAAAGATGTTACTAAGACCTATGTTAAGAAGCTTACCACCTGTGTTTTCTTCTAGGAATTTTATGGTTTTCAGGTCTTACATTCAAGTCTTTAATGCATTTTGAGGTAATTTTTGTGTATGGTGTAAGATAGTGGTCTAGTTTCATTACTTTGCATGTAGCTACCCTGTTTTCCCAACACCGCTTATTGAAGAGACTGTCCTTTCTCCATTATAGGTTCTTCCTCCTTTGTCAGAGATTAAGTATCCATATATGTGTTAATTTATTTCTGGGCTTTCAATCTGTTCTGTTGCTGTGTGTGTCTGTTTTTGTACCAATACCATACTGTTTTGATTACTATAGCTTTGTAGTATAGTTTGAAATCTGGGTGCATGATGTCTCCAGCTTTGTTCTTCTTTCTCAAGATTGCTTTGCCTCTTTGGTACCTTTTGTGGTTCCATACAAATTTTACAGTTATTTGTTATAGTTCTCTGAAATATGCCATTGGAATTTTGATAGGTATTCCTTTGAATCTGCAGATTGGTTGGCTGGTATGAACATTTTAACAATGTTAACTCTTTTAATCCTTAAGTAGAGAATATCTTTCCATTTATTTGTTTCTTCTGTTTCTTTCATGACTGTCTTAGAGTTTCCAGTGTGCAGGTATTTCATCTTGGTTAAATTTATTCCAAGGCATTTTTTCTTTTTGATGCATTGTAAATGCGATTATTTTCTTTAGTCTGTATTCGTTAAAGTCAGAAGCTTGGTGAAATTTTCCTGGACATTTGAAGAGAGAGAGGAAGACATCTGACTAGCAAAAATAATAGAGGATACATATTTTCTTTTTAAGATTTTATATTTAAGTAATCTTTACACCCTGTGTGGGGCTCAAACCCATAACCCTGAGATCAGTAGTCATATATTCTCTACCAACTGAGCCAGCCAGGCACCCCAGGGGATGCATATTTTAAAATGACATTTTTCTAGGGGCACATGGGTAACTCAGTCTTTGGTTAAACATTCTTGACTTCTGATTTTGGCTCAGGTCATGATCTCAGGTTGTGAGATTGAGCTTGGCCTCTGACTCCATGCTGGGTGTGAAGCCTGCTTAAGATTCTCTGTCCTTCTTCTACTGCCCCTCCCCACTTCTCCAAATAAATAGACAAACAAAGACCTACATACACAAATGACATTTTTCTATTGGCTAAAATAACAAATGAAAACATGATAGGATCATTCATAATATTTTCTAGCAGAAGTTAGCAAACAAGTTAGGGCTGTTAGATATAGAGCCACTGAGCAATTTCATATCAAAATGGATTGATAGCAAGAATAGCTTATAACAAAATTTTAAGACTTTTTTGAATATTTGGAAATTGTAACAACTTTCTTTTTCCTTTTCTATTTTCTGTTAAACAGGATGGCTTAAATTCCTTGGTCCTTGATTTGGATTTTCCTGCCTTGAGGAAAAACAAGAATATAGATAATTTTTTAAATAGATGTGAGTAAACTTTATATTTGATCCTATCACTATACTTTTGATGAGATTTATATTACAGTTTATAATTTGTTAACCTTAAATATTTTTTAGTTTGCTATTTGGTTTGTTTTTAAATTACAAGGATTTTTTATTTTCAAAGCAAAACTGCAGAACTAGTTGCAGTTTGTAAAGTAGGTAAAGTTCAAGATTTTGTATAAATTATTAAGACTAATGATTTCAGGATAGGTTATTTATGGCAGTTCAAAGAGCACTTTTAAATTAATATTAACAATATTAAGACTTAGGTTTACATTACCCAGGAGACTTAATGAGCTTTATGTTTGTATAAATGTAGACATTTCAGTCTAGCTAATGAAAGATAATGTGATAACAATTATTGTTGTATATGCAGTAACTTAATATTTGCCAGTATTGATGTTGCAGTGAAGGTGTAAATGAAGTCGAATTCTAAGGATAGATTCTCAAAAATAATTCAGTATTTAGTAAGCAACACGGTGAGCTTTTTAAGTTGGAATTGTCAGAGACTGGGCTGTTTTCATAATTAAATAATCTTGACTAGTTACCATATCTATCATATGTGATTACTACCTTTCAAAGAAGTAGGCTCCTGAAATTTATTACTAAGATTAGCCTTGCAGGTAATGTCATAGCAGCTCTTTGCCATGATTCACAATGCGCTCTAGGACTGTGTGGGTCATCACTGTTTAGCTGTCCTCTTGTCAAGCAACAGAGTCAGAAATGAGATAGCTTCACTGCTGCTTTTTGGTAGTTAGTAATGTTTGTTTTATATGTGTTAATAAACTGTAGAGTTTTGGTTCTTTGATGTAAAGTTAGTATGTATCTTACATTTTAAAATAGTAACCTTTGAAACTGACAGATTTAGCTAAAAACTGAATACAGTTTCTTGAACTAAAAATCTGCTTACAAATATAGTAATTATTTAAAAGTATTGCTTATAAATTTGATCTTTTAATTACAGATGAGAAAATTGTGAAGAAAATCAGAGGGCTACAGATGAAGGCCGAAGACTATGATGTTGTGAAAGTTATTGGAAGGGGGGCTTTTGGTGAAGTGCAGCTGGTAAGAATGTGTTGTTCTGTTCTGTTATTTTATTTTTAAAGCGGGGTTTTGTGCGGTATCAGTAGCCTCTGAGTAGATCTTATTTTTATGCTCGGCCATGCCAGAATTAGTTTTGTGAGCTCGGTCAAGTTATTCCATCTCAGAGAACCTGAGTGTCTTCATCTGTAAAAGGAAGCACTGGTAATCGGTAAACCCCGGGTCTCTTCCAGCTCTGAAACCCTGAGATTTAGAATATGCTAGGCCAGCTTGATTTCACACATTACCTACTAGCAGCTAATATTCCACAAGAACTGTTGTGTTTTTATTTAATATGTTAAGACTAATAACATTTTTCTTTATTAGCTGAGATTTATTTAGATATATTAGAAACCCAACAAAGACATTTTTTAAAAAGATTTTATTTATTTGACAGAGAAAGAGAGTGACAGTGAGAGAGGGGACACAAGCAGGGGGAGTGGGAGTGGGAGAGGGAGAAGCAGTCTCCCCGCAGAGCAGGGAGCCCATGCGGTGCTTGATCCCAGGACCCTAATCTGAGTCAAAGGCAAACACTTAATGACTGAGCCATCCAACAAGGTGCCCCCAACAAAGACATTTTAATATGAAATTTATCTTTGCAGGCAAAAGTGGTACCAACCGGAAATATTATAAATGTTTGTAATCAATATTGCACTTACATATTAATTAGGAACTGTAATGATATTCCTGTTTTCATCACTTGAGTATGAAACTCCGCTTTTTTATGCTTACAAATTATTGTCTTTGGCCAAATTATGGGGTCAGATTCTGTTTTTCACTCCAACAGTGTTCTACTCTATTTGATGGAGCTTGAGAAAAGGACTGCTCACTGTGTGTCAGCATGGCTTCTCTGGGAACAAGTCATGACAGACTAACTTTATCTTTGTCATCTCTTTCATTTCTTCTTTCTTTAATAGGTTTATTGAACTTGTAGATCAGGGTAGTGTAATAGGTGTGATATACATCTGTTAGATACTTGAAAAAGTCTGTTAGGGGCGTCTGGGTGGCTCAGTGGGTTAAAGCCTCCACCTTGGGTTATTAGGTCATGATCCCAGGGTCCTGGGATCCAGCCCCACAGGGAGCCTGCTTCCCTCCCTCTCTCTCTGCCTGCCTCTCTGCCTACTTGTGATCTCTGTCTGTCAAATAAATAAACAAAATCTTAAAAAAAAAAAAAAAAAAGAAAAAGTCTGATACACTTAAGAGGATATGGAAAAATGCCAATGAATAAGGAGATGAGTTAGGCAGCATTATAACTAATAGCTGTTTCTAAGGAGGCTGAGGAAGGCATAAGTGGTGCCTTGGACAGAGATCCCCAGGGATCTGTTTGTTCTCTCTTCTTCTCTTCAGGGTTTTATTAATGAGGCATTTATTGTATGGAGGCAATGGTGACATGTTGAATAATTTTACTAATGAGTTAAAGCTGAAGTATGAGAATGTTTTCAGATGAGAAGCCAAAATCTGGAAGTTGGGAAGGTCATTGGCCAGATAGAAGAAGTAAAATTTAACCAGAATAAAAACCTGTACTTAGATGTGAAGAACTCAAGGAGTAGATTCCTTAACAGTAATTATGAATCAAAGAACAATTTTCGTTGAATGTAAACCAAGCAAGAATCATTGGTGATGTGGCTGCCCAAAATAAGAAAGATTGGATTGTTTTGATACAGGTTTTTTCTATTTTGAGATGATTGGGCCATGCTGCGTCATTTATTCATTCTAGATGCTCTGTTACCCTGTTTTAAAGGGCACATTTAGATAGAGATGCTCATTTAGATAGAGAGTACTCAAGGGATGAAATGCTCAGGGACTTGCAACAATGCCATTTGAGGTGTGGTGGAGGGAATTGAGAAGTTAACACGGAGATTTGAGGAGTGGGCTGCCTTTGAAAGTAATGTGGTTTTTGTTTGTTTTGTTTTTAGTCAGTGAAAGTGGTGAAGTTTTGGCTGTTAGAATTCCCATGGGGCAAGGGTCAGAGATTAGATTTTGAGTTATGGGAGGTCTTGTAAGATAGGGAAAATATAAAGTAATCGAATCCTACTTCTGCCCTGGTCTAACTCAAAGAGTTATTTATTAAAAAATAAATAAGCCTAGTTATAGTGTTCCTTAAGTGTTCACCACTGTTACTATAGCCTATTTGATACAAAGATTCATACTATAAGTATGTAGAATAAATACATTGTTTATTCATACTGAGGATTCAGTGTAGATAAAGAGGAAAGACTAGAATTTGGAGTTCTGTTTTTGGAAGGAAATATGACAGATCCTGACTTGTCATGTTTTTATGGCAATGTGGTCATTTGCTCTGTTTTAGGTGAATTTGATCATTCAACTTCAGTACATTCAAGAAAGGAAAAGAAAAGGCTTCTGTTATTGTTAATTTTCCACTCTGAATTTTATTTTGTCCATAAAACATGCAGAAACAAAGTCACATGTTTTTAGAAATGAAAAATATTTTAACATTGCTTTAGTCTGATGACCTGACACAAGAACTTGGAGCATGTGTGTTTTGGCTTTACCTCTTGGTTCTATTGGTGGGAACTTTTTTTTTTAGGGAATAAAACACTATATATATATTTTTTAATTTTTAAAAAATTTTTTATTAACATATAAGGTATTATTTGCCCCAGGGGTACAGGTCTGTGAATCATCAGGCTTACACATTTCATAGCACTCTTGGTGGGACTTTTTAAAAGAAGGATGAGATTAAAAAGGAAAAGTCCCGAGTTCTTCCATAGTCTTTTAAAGTTGCTTTGTATGTTGTAGATAAATTGGTTTGACAGATCTGTAGGCAGTGTTCCACATTTGGCACATCCTTTTGATTATGTTTTCTAGTCATCTGAAGAAAGTTTTTACATAGGTGCAGATTTGTCTTTCCTTGTGAAATACTTTTTTGGTCAGGTTAAAAATACATTACCACAGAGGGCCCCACCAGTCAGTTTCTTTTTTCTTTTTAAAGATTGTATTTATTTGACCAAGAGAGACAGAGAGTTAACACAAGCAGGGAGAGTGGGAGAGGGAGAAGCAGGCTTCCTGCTGAGCAGGGAGATTGATACAGGGCTCAGTCTGGGATCGTGACCTGAGCCAAAGGCAGACGTTTAACAACTGAGCCACCCAGGTGCCCTCAGTAGTCAGTTTCTAAAAGAAAATTCTTGTTGTGAAAGTAACTTTACTATGTCACAGCAGCTATACCACAGTGTTTAAGAGCTAGAGTCAGACTACCTGCAGTTGGATTCTAACTCTCTGAGGAGCTGTCCGTGCAGACAAGTTACTTAATCACTCTGTGCCTCAGTTTCTTATCTGTTAAATGAAGATAACAATAACAATTATACCCCATAGAATTACTGGGAGAGTTAAATGTAATTAAATTTGGAACAGTTCCTGGAATACAGTAAGTGCTTAGTAAATGTTAGCAGTTCATTTTCACACATAAAATGGTTCATTTATCCGTCCGTCAATGAATATTTAATTAGGATCTGTTACATTTCAGGGGCTGTGCTAGCCTCTTAAAGATAAAATAACATAGCTTCGATTTTTCTGCAAGTGATAGTTTTGTGGAGGAGTTTTACTTTAAACAAGTAAAGTATTTTTCAAATCATGATAAATACTGTGAAGGAAAAGATCTGGATGCTGTGAGAGAAAAATGGAGGGTTGTGCTTAATTCAGGTGTGGATGTTAGGAAAGCCTCACTGTAAGAAAATGACATTGGAGTTATGATGTATAGGAGGAGTTAGTCACATGTTAGTCACAGTATTCCTTTGGTTAATTGATTAGCAAATGTTTGTTCAAGAAGAAATAGCATGGGAAAATGTCAGAAGTTAGGAAAGTGCCAAGTTGTTACATTTATTTGGGTTTATTTGAGATTTCCTCACCTGAAAAATGGCATTTTCTTACAGATTGAAAAGTTTTATAATTCAAGGAGGGCAAAATTGTTTGGCTTATTGTCCTTTTTTCCTATCTACAGAGGTGATGTATGTTTATGTTTTTATATCATGAAAAGTCTGTGACATGGATGATTTTATCTGATATCACTTTTGTTTTTGGATTCTATTTTCCGGATTATTCATCACATCTCATTTTTATGGAAAATAATATTATTTAGTATAGTATATTGATTAAGAACAGTACTTTGGAAGAATAGTCAAAATCAACTACTTCTGTTTTCATTCTACTGTATATAGGTTTCTTGTCATCAAAACTTTAATTTCCTTATCTTGGAGTAGCATTAATAATAGAATTTAAGATTTTTTGTGAGGATTAAATTGGACTATGCTTGTGTGGTACTTAATGGGATCTGGCACATTATAGATACTAAGTAAATATTATCTGTTGTCACTCTTGTCAGTTTCTGTGCATTTTTGAATTTTAGTGTTTTAAATAAATAATCATAAGTCTCGCTCTGACTTTTATATATATGTATTGGTTTGCTAGAGCCACCATAACAAAATACCACCAGCTGTAGCTTAACCAACAGAAATTTATTTTCTCATAGTTCTGGAGGCTACAGTTTCAACATCAAGGTGTTTGCAGGTTTCATTTCTCCGGGCCTCTCTCCTTGGCCTGTGGATGGCCACCTTCTGTTGTGTCCTGACACGGTCTCTCCTCTGTGCTTGTATGTGCCTGGTGCGTCACTCTGTGTGTCCTAATTGTCTGTTCTTAGAAGCACACCAGTTACCTAATAGCCTCGTGTTAACTTAATCACCCCTTGATGTCCCTGTCTCCAAATAAAGTCACATTCTGAGGTACTGGAGGTTAGGGTTTTATAATGTAACAGGGGCCGGGGGTCGTGTGCAGCATGTAGCACGTAGTCATCCCGTAATAGTGTGTATGTATGTTGGGATGAACTTTTCAGTGAGATTACTTTTTTGAACAGATATGCATGCATACTTTGTTCATTTTTATATGTTTGTTTATTTACTTACCTTGCACATAGTCTTTTCTTTGAAAAACAAAGTTACAAATTCTAGCCTTGCAAATGTCTTCTTAAGGCA